AGAGTTTTATGGAAACTAGGAAACTCGCGAAAATTAAAAAAATTCTTGCCGGATTTGTTCTATGCGGCCGTATAGAAGGTTTCTATGCGGTCACATAGAAGACCTAAGCCACGCCTTGGAGATCTGTGCAGGTGTCTATGCGACCGCATGGCATTTTACGCTATGCGACCGTATAGCGTTAGTTCGCCATGTCTCTTCCCTTTGCTCATTTCCAATGCTTTCCAACCCTTTTTTAGCTTCCGCCCCTGATGTGAAACTTGGTCCTAAGCTTATCAACTCCTTCATTGTGAACCTTGTAGCTCGACCAAGTGCTTGCACGACTTCTTTGCTTCGATTCAATCCCCGGCTCACTCTCGAACTCAACTTTAACTTCCTCTCAACGCACCGTAATTCTCCACCTGCTTGATGCCTCATTTGGGTCACATCATAAGGTCATCATAGCACCTTATATGAAGGCAATCATACTTTGGTGATATTTGATGTTGCTCTGTCAAGGGTCGCTAATATGACGTCGTTCGAGTATGTCAGAATCATATGAAGGTTATGAATAATCAATAAAAAATTCATCACTGTTAGATAGTAAGATATTACAATTTACATTTCATTCAGTTATCTTAATAACGAAATCCTTGGTCAAAGTGTAATCATAAGTCGAAAATGAGTTTTCGACTTATATTGACTTAATAGTGAGATGAAATATATGATCAATAATTGAGATTGACACATATTCATATCTTGTAATGATCGGATTATATTGACGAAATGATTATAGTTGCACGGTAAACGAACAAATTTTGTTTTGTCATACCAAGTGACATTTTGTGTCATATGTATTGCACTATTACTCTAACACATTGCTAGATATCAATTTGGGACGACATATGTGAATTGATGATAAATTAAAAATAGTATTTTAATTTATCGATTTTGATTAGATCAAAATAATAATTCACGTCGTTAGGTATCGTGATAGGGAACGTGACGTGTCATGCACAAAAGAAGAACTAAAAGAATGAGATTCACCAATTAATTAATTAACAAGTATTA